CCGAAACGTAAAAGATAAGTATAATTTCTTAATATTTTTTTGATAGGCAAAATTGTGAAATACGACAAGTTACTGATAAATAGAAGATTTTTCTTTGTGAAAAATACTTTGATTTTTACGCAGTAACTTATCGGGGTAAACTAAAAAGTTTGCCCTTCTACACTTGCATAAAGTTCTCCATTATAATTTTTATATTTTTTCAGATTGTGGAAGGTAACAATTACTCAAAAAAAGGTCGATAAAAAACATTATTCTGTTTGGTATAATATTACATGTATGTATGTTTCTGTCTCTTTCACGCCTAATGGAATCAAAGTTGTGTAATTTTGCTGTATGTTCAACTTACAGTAATATCTGGGTTGCTACTTGCTGTTGGATCATTCATGGCGACAATACCAATCGACATGGACGATCGTATACATGCCGTAAGAAATAACAGAGATCCATGCATGAGAACCTGCTGATGCCTTTTTCCAAATATTGGACCTGAAATGAAATCAAGACATTAGTTGCTGGTGTATCTGGAATATAATCAATAATTGATATTGTTATTGGCCCTCTGGTGAATTCTCACCTTAACGTGCTTTACATGCCTCAGAACATGAATTGTACTTGGAAATTCAATAGAACGCGTACCTACTTGAATTGTTCTTCCTTTTCTTTTTGAATAATATTCGCCTCGCTAGGAGCTGATAACTCCACAACAAATATCGTGTTGCTCTGATGATCGAGAGAAACTACATCAGGCTTATTAGCTTGTATGAGCTAACGAATGTGGTACCATCCCCACAATGGATCTCGGTGTCTCGTCAATATCGTAAAAGTGCTGTAGGTGGTAATAAAGTTCTCTAAGGACCGGGATATGTCGATGGATATAGGCCGAGACGACCGCATATGCTGAGCAAGCTGTCAGCAAGGGCATTTGGTTATCAGGCACCTTGTGGCAGGAACTTTTATACCCATCACGCGACTACGGTAGACTAAGGTGTTGAATACACCATCATGGCAAGCCATGATGAACCCCTCAGTTTCCGACTTCAGTCCACTCGACCTGAGAAAAGCGAACGTCAGGCGCATTGTTAAGCCAAGGTCTCCAATGTTTCCGAAGAAGACCCCATGCATTGGCTTATCCTTGTGTTTCCGCAGAAGTGGAAGTGATCTCTGTGGCTTTTTGCTAGACAGGTTCCAACTCGATGACGGAGTTGTGATCACCTCGTTCAGTGTCGAACACTAAGCCAAGTTCATCAGCCACTTAGGCAGCTGCCCCAAAGAGAAATGCTCCAATTCCTGCTCTCTCATGGTCGCTGACCATGCAAAAAAGGGGATTCCAACTTCTGATGACTGCATAGGCTCTATTCAGTACCATTCTGTCATGTAGACACTCCAAACTCAAAAGTCTACGGCCCCCTAGTGGTCGGGGGTAACTTCTATGGAGATCATTTTTCTGGTCTTCACTTCGAGTTGGTACAGCTTCTCCCGGGTCCATTTCACTGCTCCAAATGAGTAGAGTAAGATGGGAACTACATATTCACAGTAGCGAATTTGTTCTTCCCCGACAGTTCCGATGACCAGGTCTGTCGGAGTTTGTGCTAATATCTGTCCCGACTAATTTAGGAAAATTCTGGCTTTCTAAGAAAATAAATAATTCATCGGTCTTGTGGCGGATTGACTGGATATTCAGCAGTAGGATTGGCCGTTGCTGTGATGAAAGGAGGTTCTTGGGAATACATGCTAAGTTGTTAGTGACCCGACAAAGATAGTTTTCTGAAAATTTCGATTATTACTTTCTAGACGTGACAGTTCCTCATATAAAGAGAGATTTTGATCTTCTGTCGTGCTGGCTGCATTTGTTTGTGGCACGATTCCTGAAGCCACAGCCCCATCAACTTCAATTTGATTTCTTTCGGTATCATTAGTATATTTATATGCATCAACTTCATTTGGACTTCTTTCGAATGAATTTGTACATTTATGTTCGTTTTTGTTATGACTACTGGTACTTAAAGTAGTAGGTGTTTCTGAATTCTGATCTAATTTCACGTGGGAAATAATAGCTTTGGATAGGAAGAAAATCCCTGCGTTATTAAGGAGGCTTAAATTACGTCCTGAGTAGAAATTTGATTTATGCAAAGTGTTATTGCAGTCAAGTAAGTGCCTATGTAAATGTGCTTCATGAAAGGCTTCAAATACTGCTAAGTTATTATTGTAAACGCGTTCATTCCATCCATTCTGCATGTTGG